TGATCAATTGATCATCAGCAAGTGTGACTACCTCTAGAAAAACCGAAGTTTTAGGAGTTTGCTGGTCTTGAGCATTGAGGTGTGTGTTAATGCAAGGCCAAAGAGTAAAGACATCAGCAATGATCTTAGAGAAGCAATTGTTGCTGCCCATCAATCTGGGAAGGGTTACAAGGCCATTTCCAAACAATTTAAAGTCCATCATTCTACAGTGTGGAAAATTATTCACAAGTGGAAAACATTCAAGACAGTTGCCAATCTTCCCAGGAGTGGACGTCCCAGCAAATTCACCCCAAGGTCAGAGTGTGCAATGCTCAGAGAAATTGCAAAAAATCCAAGAGTTACATCTCTGACGTGTGTTAATGCAAGGCCAAAGAGTAAAGACATCAGCAATGATCTTAGAGAAGCAATTGTTGCTGCCCATCAATCTGGGAAGGGTTACAAGGCCATTTCCAAACAATTTAAAGTCCATCATTCTACAGTGTGGAAGATTATTCACAAGTGGAAAACATTCAAGACAGTTGCCAATCTTCCCAGGAGTGGACGTCCCAGCAAATTCACCCCAAGGTCAGACTGTGCAATGCTCAGAGAAATTGCAAAAAATCCAAGAGTTACATCTCTGACTCTACAAGCCTCAGTTAGCATATTAAATGTTAAAGTTCATGACAGTACAATTAGAAAAAGACTGAACAAGTATGGTTTGTTTGGAAGGATTGCCAGGAGAAAGCTTCTCTCTAAAAAGAACATGGCAGCATGGCTTAGGTTTGCAAAGTTGCATCTGAATAAATCACAACAAGACTTCTGGAACACTGTCCTTTTGACAGATGAGACCAAAGTGGAGATGTCTGGCCATAATGCACAGCGCCACGTTTGGTGAAAACCAAACAAGCATATCAGCACAAACATCTCATACCAACTGTCAAGCATGGTAGTGGAGGGGTGATGATTTGGGTTTGTTTTGCAGCCACAGGACCTGGGCACCTTGCAGTCATTGAGTCAACCATGAACTCTGTATACCAAAGTATTCTAGAGTCAA